ATGAATATATGCTCATCAAGACAATCCGTAACTGTAATAATGTGTTTTGTTGGCAGAAGTGGCATCTTAATTTGAGTTCATAACTTACAATTCAGAGTTTAAATTTCAAGTGTGACAAGTAAATAAGTAACACAAACAAATATTTAGAGTTACTAAAATGTCAAAGGTATAAAACTGAATACTCTGAACAATTTTTATTTTAATAATACGTAAATAAATGATATAAAGAAAAAAAAATAATATATAAAAAAAGGTCTATGCAGACTCATACTCGTATAAAATTAATCGGAAAGGTTATTAAATATAATAATTACATCAGTCTGACCAGCAAAGAGTGGAATATCTGCTATTGTATAAAATTACTTCTTTAAATAACGGCACCTTTGACATCATTCACAAGGGGAACTTTGCCAAGAGGGAGTTTATCAGCTGCAGGAAGACCTTTGAGACCATCAAGTCCAGGAAGATTTGGAAGTCCACCTTTACCAACGGGGAGACCATCGAGTGCAGGAAGGCCGGGAAGTCCGCCTTTTCCAATGACAGGAAGACCATCTTTTCCAATGACAGGAAGACCATCTTTTCCAATGACAGGAAGACCATCTATAGGAAGACCATCTTTACCAATGACAGGAAGACCACCTTTACCAAGACCAGGAACTGGAGGGAGTTCACCAAGAGCTGGAACTGCAGGGAGTCCACCAAGAGCTGGAAGTCCGCCTGGACCAGTATTTTTTCCACCCTTGCCTTTGCCCCTGCCACCCTTGCCTTTGCCTCTGCCACCCTTGCCACCTCTGCCACCCTTGCCACCTCTGCCACCTCTGCCACCTCTGCCACCTCTGCCACCTCTGCCACCCTTGCCTTTGGGTGCGCGTTTGGAATAGAGTTCTCTTTTTTCAATAGCTCTCTCTCTAACTATGTTTTCAAGAGTGACATCATTAGTGTATCCTCCGAAAGTACTACGCTTATTGATGACTGTATTGTCTGTGGAATAATGGACCTCATTGGTATTCTGTACCTTTCTTGCGTCAGAAATTGTTATTAAGGACAATGCGAGACAAAGTGAGATAATAGTGGCTTTCATTTTTTGAAATTTTTTCTTTCTAGATAAGCAATTGAAAATAAAAATCAAAATAATTTTTTGTTTCCAATGTATATCCACTCTGTTTATATATACTTTAGAAAGTGAGGGGGACCCGTTTTTTTTCTGCTCTATCTCTCTCTTGGTTTATGCACTTAGAACCTTAGATCTCCTTTTTTTGTTACCCTAAAACAATAATAGATAAATAGAGAGGCGTTATTTTTGGAAGAAAACACCGCCTTCTATAAAAATTATGCAAGGGGAATCACCGATCAGCTTAAAAACACAAGTAATACATGCCATCAATAATTCCACAATAATCATGAGTCAATTTTGGTAGATCCTTTGCAAGTTTGCTTCTCAGTACTAAAATTCTGCACAAATAAAGTTTATAATTGAATATTTTTTTCTATATGAAAAATTATAAACCAGACAAGCGTGCCTAAATTAAGTTAAAAAAACCATTTCTCCCTTGCCTCCTTACCTTCCTATTAGAAGCGTTGAGTACCAATGAAGTCACTTCTCAACTAAATATCTAAACACACGAAAAGGAAATATGAGAATGATATAAGTATTCATATGAACAAAGGAACTAAACAACTGTAATTCACCAAGTCATTTATACAATAGTATTAAGGATACACAGTAACAGCGAATACTATAGAATAATGTTCTACTATTGTTTTCCAAACATCAATACAAAATAATCCATCCATAAACACATTCCCTATAAATACCTCTACACTTCTTCTATATAGTATGAAAAACAGCGGCCATAGCGATATCTCGATAATGCTTTATTTTTTTTTTTTTATATATTCTTTCAATATCTTTTATTCCTTTTTTGTTCCTAATAATCCTCTTTTTAAAAAACAGATAATATTATGTTTTTCTTGTCTTTTTTTTTTTTTTTTTTAATCCTCGGTACTCTCCTTTTCCTTTTTTTTTTTTTTCTCGAATATAGAATTAAAGAGAGGGTTTATCTATATTTAATAGAAATCTATGCTAATGAACTGATGTTTTTCTTCATTCCAAGGCCAAAGTATGGAACCTCCTACAATTAATGTATAATTCAGTTTCACAAAAAAAAAACACACATTTGAATATATATAAAAAAAGAATCAGCTATTTGGACTTGATAAAATCAACATTTCACTCCTTGAGGCGTTTTTTTCTTCTTAGCATTTACTTTTTAAACGTTAAATTCACTCCCAAAAAATGAATTACAAAAATCTTATAATTCCGCACAGATCATAGCCCTCATATATAAAAGGATATATACATATATTAGATGATGTAGAGTCGGATGAATGCATAAATGCAATGTCAATCAGGGGATCGTGTTCTCTCAAGGAGGAACTCAACGACTACAATCACTTTTTGAGGATAACATAGCAAATGCTTTTTTTTTTTTAAAAAAAAAAAAAAAAAAAAAAAAAAAGTGTATCACCTTCAATATAGATTTACAAACGGATATTTCATGTCAAGTAAATAAAAAGTATCTTGACTCTATATTGTAGTTATTATTTTTTGAAAGCTGATAGATTGTCATAAAATATTCCTTGTATAGAATTATGATTTCGAAATACTGAGAGGGTATACGGCAAAACAATCTGATTATAAATCAATACTTAAATAAGATAATCCACATGAGGCTATTAACTTCTAAGACTTACCAAATGAAAGGGTAGAAAATTATGAATAAAATTGATTACAAGACTTCAAAAGATAAAAATATATTACCAGCACTAGTGCGTATGACCACCATCGGTAGTGAACCGACCATTGCTTCTTTTAAGGAAGGATAGAGCATCTTGTTGAAATTCAGTGTAGAATTGACTGATGTTCGTGGTTAATTCTCCTAGAATAAGAGTACCAAGACCCGATAGACCGATTACCAAGGCGAAAACCTGATCGCGGCCGTGGTATTATTGATTTGCTTTTACCGAAATGCACTTTGGATTGTGGTAGACAAAAGTATCGTTAGTTGATTTTATTGTTTTTTTTTTTGTTATCTTTTTCTATTACAGTGGTCAGATGGGATAGTTTTTCAAAGCAAAA